TTGTTCTGGACTGGCCAAAAAGTCGAATAAGTGGTCTAGAGAATGTAATAATTTAGGCAATTTCTCATTAAACTCTTATACATTATTTTTGGCCCTGTGCGAAATTTCTAAAATGTCTCTTATTTTTGGAGATATATCTCTAGACGCACCAATTCTCCCTTTTAATCACAGATTAATTTGGAGATGTATCTTCGAAGAGCATTGTAGAGTGTGTTTGGAGATACATCTCCAAATTAACCTCTTTTTTTTAATTCAAAAAACTATTTCGGAGATGTATCTCCGAACTAGGTGAAAATATTTAAAGCTCGCGCCAGACTCTCTCTCTTCTCCTTTATTTATCAGAAATCAAAATTTTCTCTCTACCGCCCTCTACCTATTTCCAGTTCCCATTTAAGATCAAGTTTTGAATCAACATTTGCTTGTATCTTGCCATTCCCAATTTCTTCTAACTACTGCATTCAACATCAGATCAGTTTTCACCCTCATCAATACATTTTTGAGTAAGTTTCTCATTTAGCCGATTTTAATTTTTGATTAATGTATTAGCTCAAATAGATTTGTTTTAATGCATTAGATAACATTAGCATTTGAAATAGATTATGTTTAGACTATGTTTTATGATTTAGGCGAGTTTGGATGATACTTGGATGGCTAGGGAAGTTGCAGAAAAGTTTATACCATGGAAGCTGAATGAAGCTTTTTTTCAGAGATGTATCTCTGAAGTGTGTTGTTTAAGGTGTTTGAAGATACATCTCCGAACTCTTTCTTTCCATATGCACTAACCTCTTTTCTTTTTTGTTTTAAAGGTAAATTGATGAAAACAATGAAAGGTTGAGACCTGGGTGACCCACCCTAACCGCGTCTTCTCTTCGCGAGAGGACTTGCCAACATGAATAAGCTATAACCATCCCTTTTCCTCATGACAGAAAGGCATCGACTTTTGGGAGTTAACTATCACGGGGGTCAAGATCCTAGAGTTGTGCATACCATGATGAGAATGCCACAGTTGCATCGCAGGTCCCTGTTGCTGAGGATGCCCCACTTGTAGACTATTTTCTAAGAGGGCCCATAAGTACTTCATTGCTGATATACTTTAGAGAGCATGTGGCTCTGCATATTTTTGAGCGGTGTCATTTTTTATTTTGTAACCAAATTCAACTCAACTGAGACTGTTATATTTTATTTTTAATAGGAACGCGAATGTATAAAATTTGTGAACCATGCAAGAAAGATTCACAATCTTTATCAGCCTCCTGATGAGTGGTTCCATAATGCACTCTAGAACTACGAGCTTACATGTCTTTGTGCTTTCGAGTACACCACCATCAGCCATGGCATAAAAGCTGCATTTGCTGAGAGATGGCATAATGAAACATCATATTTCCACTTTCCCATTACTGAAATGATAATTACATTAGATGATGTAGCTTGCCACCTACAGCTTTCTATTAGAGGAAGATTGTTTGATCATTCTAAGATCACCAAGGCTGAAGCAGTGGATATGATTGTGGCTTATTTGGGAGCTGGCCCTGAGGAAGAATTTGAGCAGTGCAGAAGCACCAGAGGTGCACATGCCAAGTTTTCATGGTTGGTGAAGTTGTATGACAATAACTTGGAGATAGCCGAACACCCAAACGCTGATGATCTTTGGGTTGGCTACCACAGGGAGTATGGCCTGAGGTGTTTTTTCATGTTCTTGATTGGCACATCCATGTTTATGGGCAAAAGTGAAAATTATGTGAATGTGACTTACCTCAAATATTTCATTGACTTAGAGTCCATTCACGAGTGGAATTAAGGGGTCGCATGTTTGATTTACCTATACTCCAATCTGAGTGAAGGTTCTAAATGGACGACAAAACAAATTACAGGCTCATGCAACCTACTTACGGTAATTTCCAAATCCCACTATTAAGTTACAAACAAATTTTTTCACACTTGTTTCTAATGTTTTATTTCTTATTAGTTTTCAGGGATGGATTCTCTCACTATCACCGCACTCACAGGTTTAAACATGATCCGTTGTATATTGAGGATTATCCATTTGATTGTCGGTTTATCTCTAACAGGGGGAATGGTTCTATCTTGTCATTTCATGCGTATATTGACCAGACTCAGCATGATAACATCGTCTGGATGCCATATACTACTCACCAAAAAAGAATTTCATTCGACTACATTTCCTTATACTCTGGATGGTTGGCATGTGGGACTAATATATTGTGCAAGTATATACCTGAGTGGTGCATGTGATAGTTTGGGTACTGCAAATCATTCTGAGGCCCCTCTTATCAGTATTGTCCGTAGACAGTTAGATGACATTTTGGCAGATTTTAAGAGTCGTCTAGTGGAGTATCAGAGTCATGAAGCCACATCTCATTGGATTTATATTGAGGGTTACATGACTTGGGTCTATAACGACTCAACCCTTACATGATACAAGACGCTCCTAGACGTCCACCTAGGCCTACTCATAAGGAGATATTGGAGAATGAGAAGATCAGGGATGACCATGTCATTGATGTCTTGTCGATCTGTCAGAACATTATGCGGATGACATGAGAGGACATCGAGTCTGGACTGTTTGAGAGAGGTGGCGATGAAGCGGTTGCCTTAGCGCGTTCCATTCTTATCGAGGCACAGAATGTCTTAAGTTACGGTAGGCAGAGGAGGAGTCAGGGTGTTAGGATTAGACAAACTCAGTAGTCAGTAAACTATGCTTTTGATTGTATTTTATTTATTTTCCATCGGCTTGGAGAACAATTTTTGTACTATTATAATATTTCTGATATTTAACGCATTACTCAATTTTATAATATTCCTTTTTATTAATCGTTAAAACAAATAACGATAATGTTAATCGATTTACTCCACAAAAACTACAGTACCAACAAATTGTATCTATGAATTTATTCACACCAAATTTGCAAATACATCTTCGAACTATTTTTTTAAGAAATGTGGTGGATAATGTAACTTCAGAGATGTATCTACGAATTTATCCTTAGGTGTTTTTGGAGATGCATCTCCAAATTAAATTTAGACAAAAAATAGTATTTGGTGCGTTCGGAGATGTATCTCCGAATTCACCCAAGAACATTTTTGGATTTTCATAGGTGTGCGCTCTATAGTGTAAGGGTGCAATGAGAAATTGTTATAATGTATTGAGCTACTTGTAGAGTATGGGTGTTATTCCGTGTTAGTCCGCATAGATCCAAACCCTTGATCCATCCAACAACTTCCTGTATCTTGCGCCTGAAGATCAACACATAGTTATTACTACTTCACATAGTGGCTTAAGTATTTTTGAGTGTTAATTTTATAAGTGCACTCCTCTCTCACAATATCGAAAATTTAAACCCACTATTATATTTCGCAACCTTCAATTTCGAATCTATTATAGTGACTTAGTGGAACACTAATCATACATTTAAATTTTTATTTTATTTTATAAATGAGTTAAATATAAAATAGTTTTTTTAAAAAATAAATTTACATAAAATGAATTGAACAATATCTAGTGTAAAGTAGAGCAACCACCATGTCAAAAATATATCTTATTAATTACACTAGAGCAACCACCATGTCAAAAGTATATCTTACTAAAAGAATTATTAATTCTAGCTTTTGTTGGGGGGAGAAATTAGGAGCATTGATGCATAGTGTAGGAACAAGCATCTTTTGAGAGAGACACACCACTTCTTCATCATGATAGGTGAGTGGGTTCTCCCACTTATATATGCTTAAGTCTCCACATTCTTATCCAATGTGAGACTATTTCCCCACTTACTCACACTTGCTATATTATTTCAACACTCCCCCTCAAGTGTGATTCCACACTGCTCCCCTTGTTGGAATAATATAGCAAGTGTGAGTAAGTGGGGAAATAGTCTCACATTGAATAGAATGTGGAGACTTAAGCATATATAAGTGGGAGAACCCACTCACCTATCACCTTAAGGTTTTAGGTGGAGAAGTGGTGTGTCTCTCTCAAAGGTTGTTAGTGCGTGAGGCATTTTTAGTGAGGAGAAAAAGAGAGAATAATAAAGGAAAATAAGGATTTATATTATTCAATTAAAATTCAATTTTATCCCAAAATCAATTAAAATTTCTATTTATTGAAACAATTCAGCGGTTCTATGCTTGAAGCTGGACTAAGATGACAAACCATAAATGAGGAATATTATCCACGCCCTTACCATCTATATCCACACCTATACATTACACCATATTTATATGAAAAAAGACAAAAGAAAATCACTTTAACTCTTTTTTCGAAAGCATATTATTTACTTTTTTCATAAAGCTACACCCACCCTTTTTACTTCACAAAAACTATGTCATTTCTGAATTAATTTCTTAAAAGAATAAGTTATTTTGTAAAGATGAATCTTATTTCATGTGAAATGGGTCGTAAAGATGATTCTATACGATTTACCTTTTAAAAATCAATATATATTAGGCCTGTAAAAATGACTTTTACAGATCATGTTTATAAAATATTGATAGGAATAAATTAATTTCAATAATCGTATACAAAAGTTTTATAGTAGAAATGTTCTAAAAACGCGTACCATAAAGATCACTAGAAGAATAAAGAGGGAAAGTAATTGGAGTGTTTGATAGAGGGTGAGGAAGATGTAGGAGGTAAGAAGAGAAAGATGATAGTTATTGGCTCAAGATTTTAACTGCTTAATGATTCTATAACTTGCAGCATAAAGTAGACCAATTGCAAACAACAGTGAAAGTTAAAGATCATTGCATCTTTTTACTAGTTAAGCAACAGAAACAAGATGCATCCAGTAGTTATATTATTAACATATGCTACTCCATGGATTATGGAAAGATTAATGTTCCATAGAACTGAAACCCGAAATTACAACGAAACAGACAAAGATGGCTCTCTGACCAAAACATATTTACATACACTCGAGCTTATTACATGATTCGAGTCAGCTTGAGTGTTGTTCCGGGGATTTTTATCGTCGTCTAACAATAGACTAATACCCCCCTTGTATGTAAGCATTCAAGCGGTCAAGCTCTTGGCGATGCTCGCCCACGACAGCACGAACGACGTCTCCAATGGACACCATACCTAGCATGTCTTTGTCGCTTATGACAGGGATGTGTCTGATCCTGTTATCTGGAAGAAAAAAAAGTGGAAAAGAGACTTTAACATAAACACTTATGAGATTGTTTGACCGAGCTTATGAAAACAGCTTATGACATGTCTATAGCAGTTTTCCGAATAGGTTATGAAAATAGCTTATAGCATACATGAAAACAGTTTGACTTAACTTTCTATTTTGTTGTTTTAATAGCTCATACAGAAGTACTTATCCGATAAGTGCTTATGCTATAAGTGTTTAATAAGATATTTATCCAAACAAGGCCTTAAAAAACATGCTACAAACTTACATGATAGTGTTTAATATTTCAATCCAATGGACCGAAAAGCGTATAAATACCTGTCATCAGCTGCATTGCTCGAAGAACTTTGGTATCAGGGGTGACTGTGATAAGTTTGTTCTGCAGCCAACACGTAACAAGGTTAGACACCGTGAATGGTGAAACCGACAATTTGCAACGATATTTCCTAACACAATAGTCAATAAGTACAATGGTTCGTACCTCTTCAGTCATAATATCGCCGACCTTGGTGGACTTGGATGACCTTCCCTGCACAATGATCTTCCTCAGGTAATCTGGATAAAAAGATGACAAAAAAAGCACATGAACAATCTCAATTAGACAACAAATAACAATACCGAACAAAAGAAGTGCATGACAGTGGATACCTCTTTCTGTTATAATTCCAGCAATTGATTTCTCCTCGCCTGGTTTCACGACCACCAAAGCTCCGACGTTGTTTTGCGTCATCTGCAACAGACGTGCTTTTAGTGAGCTTCATCAATTTCAAGTTATCAGTTGTAAGTTTACTGCAAGAAAACAATTCGAACAAAAATGCATTACCGATTTCACAGCCTCATAGACAGTGTCGTCCGTAGTGCACCAAAGCCAGGAACCATCTGCGCCTTTACCTTTGCCTTGCAAGATGTCTGAAATTGTGGTGCTCTCAAAACCATGCTCCTCAATACGAGCAGGTGTAACAGATTCAAACCGTGAAAAGGAAGCTGGCTGCAACAGGGGATTCACCATGCGGACTCGTTGCAAAACAGCATTTTTTATGACGTTACCGTTTGACAAAAATGATCGCAATGCTCCTTGCATTTTAGCTGTCTGAAAAACCAAATAGCACCTTTTAGAATTCAAAGTCTATTATGCACATAAATGAAAACATAAAACATCAGATTGGAAAAAGCTAGATTCCGTCAAGCTTTTCACACAAAACACACTGAGATTTCAATAAATCTAAATACATAAATTGATTTTACCACAACTAGTTGTACAATAGTTAGTCAGATGTGTCAGAGTCAGTGTCGTGTCCGTTGTCCTAGTGGACTAGTACTAGGACTAATAACTGAATTCATCAAGCATGAGAAATGACTCAAAAATACCACAACATCATAAGGAATCCCTTTGGACAACATTTCCAAGTGCAACACAAGATCAAAATAAACCTAAACATGGATTTACCTCAAATCTAAAAATAAACTAATGGATGAAAAAACTATCAGAAGCTGAAAAATATCCAAAATTATTAGAAAAAGAAACAGAAGATCCAGAATCCAATGAAACCCAAAACCACCACACAAAAATTACTACATCACAAATTCAACTTCCCTTTTTATTTCCTTTGATTTTAACCCTAATTAACAAATGGACCCCAGAAACCAAATCAATCAAAATACTCCTTCACAACACATCACATCCCCACATACATCAGCATCAACACAAACACAAATTAAATCCATGAAAAAAAAGAAGCTTCATTTAATATCAAAATCCATTTTTTTTACATCTAAAATCAAATCCAAACAAGGGACCCATAATACTTAATTATCAGTATCACCCCAAAAGTACATATCAACCTGATTTCACAGTCAAATTTTTCTGGATCAAGCTCAAAAACAAATCAAGATCTTAACTTTATGAACCATTCAGATTCAAAATCCAAAAGGGTGTACACAGATGATAGAAAGAAAAAAAAACAGAAATGGTGCATAAAATGAATAGATAAAGGGAAAATGAGTACCAGAGAATGAGTGAGAGAGAGAGGGAGAAGGTTCCGGGTAGAATGGTTGAGGTGAGGAGGCGTATGGACACAGACAGGACACTTGACTTGTTCCTCAAATTTCACAAAAAATGTGTGAGGTGGTGGTGAGTGGGCCTTTTCTAGAGTTTTGGATCATGACATTATCCAAAATTATGATTATTATTTTGTTTATTATTGCAACTTGTAAGTAGGTAATTGATTGATAGTGAAAGCTTCATTATCTTATTTATTTGTTGGTACTGTCACTATATTAAATGTTCAAATTTTATTTTAAGTTAGGGAATTTTTCATCTTTCTTTAATAAACCTTATCTTAGTGTGTCTTATATGTTGTTAAGATGAATCACTATCATTTTGTTGAAAAATTTCTTAACCCATCCTAGGGAGAAAAGAGACACTATATAATTTTGTATTTGTCTCTTTGAAAATTAGAAATATATTTTTGATTTATATATTTTTTACACAAAATAGGTCAATTGAGGGAATTTTTTCTCAGAATGTTACGTTTTTGAAATCAATTTTTTAGAATACCATCTTCTGAAAAAAATTGTCTAAAGTGTCACATTCAGGGGATTCACGCCATTTCAAATGGCGCGAATGTGGGCTGCAAAGGTTCTCGCCAACTCAAATGACATAAAAGGGCCTGATTAAATTTTTTTCTTCGTTTTTTTCTTTTTACTTTATTTATATTAATAATTTTAATTAGTTAATTTTATTATTAATTACAAATAATTTAATAAACTATTTAATTATAAAATTAATTAATAAAATATTAATTTTAAAACTTAAATAATTATAAATTTAAAATAACTATTTAACAACTACAATTAAATAATAAATTTTTTTATTAAATAATAAAATTTCACAATTACAATCAAAATACTAAATAAAAAAATACAGTTAAAAGTAGTTATAAATAACAATACATGGATAAAATTAGTTAGAAGGGCCTGCATTGTTAAGGCGATGCGAACATTTTTTCCGCATGTGTGGTTGTTGACAGATACCGCATCGTTTTTTTATTTTCTCAACAGTGTCCATTTCAGTTCTAATGCGAGTACTGTTCGGATGACCTTTTTTGTTTCGTCGCATCCTTTCATCATGCAAAAGAGTATCGCCCAAATATGGAGGTCAACTATCTTCTTGGGGAACACCGAGGAAACTTTGTATGTAAACTTTGAAGACGTTTATAACTCTATACAAGTCAGGAATAAACGTAGTATAGTCGTAGTTAATGTGAGAACACGCTGCGATAGCATGTGAGCAAGGTAGATGAAAAGTTTGAAATCTCCCACAGTCACAAGTTTGTGTTTGGAGGTTGACATTGAAATGAGTAAGTGGCCGACAATTCCTATTATTAACCGTCTCTTGAACCACGAAATAGTGACTTTCACGGTCAAAAGCCAAGACATTATAACTGTGGAATTTTTCTACTCTTCTGCAATTCCTTTCATGCAGTTATCTGTGAATTCCTTTCCCGATGACAAATTTTTTGTCCAATCCTTTCCTCGCTTACCCCACAATGTTCCCATCTTGTAGTATGTTGATCTTACAAGTGATGTAATAGGTAGGTTTCGGGTTTCCTTCAACACTGAGTTCAAAGATTCAGCAAGGTTGGTTGTCATGTGACCCCATCGTGCTCCTCCGTCGTAAGCTCGCGACCATTTTTCTCTTGGAAGGTTCTCTATCCAATTGAAAGCCTCTGTGTTTGTTTGACGGATCTCCTCCCGATAATATGCGTATGTAGACTCATTAATTGCATACCCTGCGTAAAAGCATTAAAAACATTAATATAAAAGAACTATATATTGAAATGCCATGTTAAAAATTAGAGAGTAATTACCCATGTTAACAACTATCTTGCGAAGGTTTTTGTCCTTGATGGCTCGCATGAAGTTTTGTGCGATGTGTAACACCCCAATTCTACCCCAGCAATTATATAAATAAATTAGAGTTATAAAAATCAATCATACAAACGAATCGGGATGCCACAAATTCTTCTATCAAAATTCATTGCGTTCTTCGTGGATATATAACACTTTTAAAACATCGGATGAACCATCAACATAACATCTTTAATCCAATAATTCAACATCTACGCAGCGGAATTCTTAATAACATTATTATCATCATTACAGCAACTTCAAAACAGCACATATTTAATAATAATCAACTTAAAGTTCCACAATTGAAAAATCAACAATCCAAAACAGCAAGCGTTCATTCCCCCTAAGTGTTACATATCAGAGCAATGACACTGACTCGAACTCTCGAAAGTATACAACCTTCACTCTCAATTACCTGCACGTTACCAACATAAGGGCAACATTCAAACAGAAGGGGTGAAATATCTAACAATATAATAAAGCGCATGATAATTAATATATTAAACTAGATCTCATAACATCACCACTTCTCATCTCATAATCAACAATAATCACAACTATAATACACAATCACAACATCAATACACACTTCTTCATGCAATCATATAATGCGACTCTATACTATGCAAATGCATGTGGTACCATTGGAGCAGAACTCCCATCTCAAAAATTTGCCAATTAATAGAGGCATCAACAAGGCATAAGCCTTCATCTCCAAATTCGCCAATACAGACCATCTCAACGAGCATAAGCCCCATCTTAAATGCAATGTATGTGACACAAGCATGAATGTAACAACAACACCAAAATTCATAACATCTTAATGCAACACCATCATTGGCTAAAGACCTACATCTCAAAAACATCTCAACGTCTCTTCATCAACATCTCATATCATCATAATAATTCATCAAACATTATTTATTTATTATAAATTATCAACACAACATCATTAATAACTTCTCATCAACAACTCAGCTGTACATTACTACTACAATAATTCATACTACTATTATGTAATCTTACATCATTATTGTCACTAATCCTACTGCTATAATTTAAACAGCAACCTCTAGGCATCTCATCTTCATCATTCTGCACAAAACCAATGTAACGATCAACACGGGAGCTAACTCTAAATCCTAAATTGGCTACTAGGATTACACTTCCTATTCTTCATTTTAATCCTCTAGAATAAAGTTCATCGTGTTAGCTATTCAACGCTTCGAACGACATCTCAAACAACATTCTAAAACTCAAGTTACAGCACTTTAAAACTGAATCTGCCAAAAATCAGACAATATGGGTCGACGCAAAACCCCTTGGATCGACGCGTACTGCTCTAATTGCACAACATGAGTCGACGCATCCTCTCTTGGATCGACTCATCCTGAGTCTTACACACAGCATGTATAGACACATGTATCCTACGTATCGACTCATCCTGAGTCTTTCAACCTTCATGTATCGACACAAGTCTCTTCGTGTCTACTCATACTGAGTCTCTAAACCCTCATGTATTGACACATCATGTTTGAGGTTGATACATCCTAATCCTTCCTGCATAAATTCTGCGATTTTCGCTGCATTTCACTACGGGATTCATACATTTAGCCCTACAAACTTAATATAATCATGATAAATCATTACTTACAGTTATCCTATGATTCTACATCGACTAAACAACATCGAGACATCATTATTCATCTAAAATTCATCAATTCTTCGTCATACATCATCATATGAATTCAATTCAAGAACGAGACAACAATCACCGCTAACCCCACATATCAATCATCATGAACCAAATTATAGAGTCAGAACCCCACCCTTACCTTAGATTGAAGGTCGCTCTATAATCTTCCGGTTGAACTCTCGTTTTTCCGTTTTTCCTCTTTTTCCAGCAGCTTCACGTTCTTCTTCTCAATCCTTATTCTTCTACTGCCTCTTCTTTCTATCCTTTCTAACAATAATAAAATAACCTATTATTCTTTATTCCTTATTGGGCTTAAAACTAATACACCCCTTTATTACTTCTATTCCTTCAAAATAAGCCCACATCAAATAATATTATACTTCTAATATTATTTCTCCACTTAATAAAATACTTAAATCCAATTAGTCACAACACATCTTCACAAATATTCCAAAAATAATTTAATTAAATAATTAATTAAATTACGGGTGTTACAACTCTCCCCCACTTAGAATATTTTCGTCCTCGAAAATTTACCTTAATCAAATAACTCAGGGTAAGAGTCTCGCATCTTGCTCTCCAACTCCCAAGTCATGCTCTCTCCGACAGCTCCTAGCCAAACCACTTTAACCAAGGCAATCTCTTGGCCCCTCAGAGTCTTCATTTCACGATCCTCGATCCGTACAGGCATCGTCTCCACCGTAAGATTATCTCGTACTTGCACATCATCCATATGAATCACATGAGATGGATCTGAAATATACTTTCGAAGTTGCGACACATGAAACACATCATGCAAATTCGAAAGATTAGGCGGTAAAGCCACTCTGTAAGCAACATTCCCCACTCTCTCCGAAATCTGATATGGTCCAATAAAATGAGAAGTGAGCTTCTTAGACTTCAATGCTCATCCAACACCAATCACATGTGTAACTCTCAAAAACACATGATCACCAGCGTGAAATTCTAAATCCTTCCTTTGCTTATCATGATAACTCTTCTGTCTACTTTGGGAAGATTTCATCTTTTCTAGAATCAACTTCACCTTCTCAGTAGTCTCACGAACAAGTTCAGGTCCAAGTACTACACTCTCACCAGATTCATGCCAACATAACGGAGTTCTACATCTTCGACCATACAACGCTTCAAAAGGTGCCATCCCAATACTAGAGTGGTAACTGTTATTATAAGTGAACTCTATCAACGGAAGATAAGTATCCCACGAACCTCCCTGCTCAAGAACACATGCCCTCAGCAAATCTTCCAACGATTGAATCATCTGTTCAGTCTGACCATCTATCTGAGGATGATACGCTGAACTCAACCTCAATTTAGAACCCAACGCTTCTTGCAAACTTTTCCAAAAATCAGAAGTAAATCTTGGATCTCTATCTGACACAATGCACAAAGGAACACCATGCAACTTCACAATCACACTAGTGTAAATCTCAGCCAACTTCGACACTGGAAAACTGATGTTAATAGGAATAAAATGAGCCGACTTTGTAAGCCTATCAACAATCACCCAAATCGAATCATGTCCTCTTA